CCTATTTCTCGTTGTTCGCTTTGTGTTGCCGCAGTATTCGCCACACTATCAATTCGCTTGCTCCCAGCATACAACCTAACCGGGACAATTTTGAACAAAATCTTTCTATATGTGGGCCTAACTACGGCGCTCGTAAGCATTGGATATGCTTGCTGCTTATTCGTTTCATTATTGCGTTCATTTAAAAGCTTATGCGTCCCTGTGGCCCCTACACCTCGACTACGAATTGGGCAATGGTTACCAGAATGACCCGGTCGCAAACAAAAAAAAAACAAAGTTTATGTAGACGGGCAACCCTCCACCTCTGATTACAAGGCATATCTAAAAACTGCTTACATTTTGCTACTTCATGATCTTCCGAACAAATTCGACAAGTCCTACCGCTCGGAGCTACTTCGCTCGATCACCACCTAAGGCCGGCGCATGCCACACTAACAACGCGAGCCAATTCTTGCAACCAATTGCTGAAATCTATAATCGATGCTCTTGGAGTAATCGTCACCACGTGCCTAGCCCACTCCAGCCTCTGTTGAACTGGCAGTTTACCTAACAATTTATCCATAAGGGTCGGGTTGCATAAATGATGGTCACAGTTTGCACCTTTTAGGAAAGAAGCTAGATTTTGAACCATAGTTGCAAACGGTATCAACAATTCTATTCGGTTATCGGCGATACTAGGCACATCACGAATTTTACTAATCTGGTTTTTCACCAGCAAATCAGAATTTCCGAACCGTTCCTCCAAAGTCTTCATAATTTGACAGACGTTGCTACTGTGGATCAGGAGACACTCGACTGTCTCCTTAGCCTTCCCCTTTATTGCTCTCTGGAGCCGCATCATGTTTTGCCTATCATTATACCCATACTCCTCGGATATCATATGAAACTCCTCTTTGAACATTGGCCAGTCTTCTGGCCGGCCGTCGAATTCGGGTAGATCATGTAGTTTACGATGATGATCGGTTTTATTTATTGCAAGCGTGCGATTTAATTCATCTAGAACCGATGACAATGTGGACGCATTTCCATCACTGTCTATATTTGTAGTAGGCTGCGGGGTATGAGCACTAGGCGCCTGACTTTCTCTTAAACGTCGGTTACTATTATCGAGTTCGACCTGTAGCGCGTTAATTCTCTGCATCATTTCATTTAGTCTGAGTTCTAGTGTATTATTATTTGCTGTGTTTTCGATAACCGTTAGATTTAGTTCTTCGCTGTTTCTTTCCCCCATACTACCAGACGTTGAACGTGTTAGCGGCATCGCGACGAGTGGAATATGTGAAACAACGGTTGACTACCTTATTCGATTTAACGGCAACGTACAGTAAGCCCTTTCTATGACCTTACCGCTTGGCTCACTACCCGACCACCGATATACACCAATCACTTCTATATAGGTATGTATGTTTTTTCTTACCTGACCGCCTTGATCACTGGAAATGCCCAACGCTTCTATCTCACTGGCTGGCTGTCGTTGGCCCCGTGCTACTGCTTGCTCACAGCGTGTGTATATCGTACCACTCGATGTAATATATTGCGCCAATATGGCTCCGATCGTTATATTGTACCAAATCAATGTATATAACGTACCGAATTAACGTGCATTGCCAGCCACCGTATTATACCAAGCGATGTATTGTGTTATTTTATGTATACTCGCCGGCGGAATGTGATACCGGCACCTGCTTGCTTAAATTTGTGTATGTTGTAGCGACCTTGTTCTTCCCACTTTGCTAGCAGCGTTTAGTCCTGGATGTCGACGCCCGTTTCCCTATGACCGCTCGACTGGGTGCACCGCTCCACGTGGCACCAAAAGCGAAATAAAAATTTGTTGCACCTGCAGGATTTGCAAATAAGAACGCTGGTTTCTTGGTTGTGCAATATGGTTGAAACCTAACGCGTTTTATTTCCTGAATAAATTTACAATGTTAAATGGTTTTTTGCTGATTAAGAGTATGGTGAATTGGATTACAATTACTCACGCTTTTGTGCGTTCTCCTGCCTCTGGTGCACTCGCAATTTAGAAGTGAATCGAAACGGCGACTAGAAAATTCTTTAAGTTTCTCAAATGGCGGCTTTTCACAACAGTGTTGCCTCTTATTACATTTAACTACGCAGAGTCGCATTCCAGAGGCAGGAGTACACATTCACAATATAAGTTTTGGAATAAATAGACATTAGGTGGTTTCACACAACATCCCAGCCTCCGTGAATCTAGCCCAGCTCAGATTCACCAACATCTAGCTTCGCCAGGATGCAGGCCGGTCGCTTGAATACTCCGAACTTCGTTTTCACGTCAGCTGCTCTCACTTGGGAGTCCTTGCCCGGATACACCTTCACCACTCTTCCAGTC